CATATATTATGATTATTCTGAATAGGTTGTTTGAATTTCTTCTGTTTCATACCTCATTACAGACCCTACAGAGTGGAACATGGGGAATGTCCAAAAGTGGATGCTGTGGACTGAACACCTGTACAGGTTGCCCAACGCAGGAAAGGCCTTCCAGGAGCTGACAGGGAAGGATCTGTGTGCCATGAGCGAAGAAGAGTTTCGGCAGCGCTCCCCACTGTGCGGAGACACGCTGTACGCTCACCTGGATATATGGAAGTCAGGTATATAATGTCTTCATTTATTTAAGAAACGACAAAAATAAATGAGCAAGTAGACTTATCTCTAGGTGGAATTAAACAGTGTGAAAAACTGATTGTCTGTCACCTTCATCTCCAGCTGCCTGGATGAAAGAGAGGTGCTCAGCTATAGATACCAAAGCTACAGGTAAAATTGATTTCCTACTGCTTTTTCTTGTATTTAAGAACATTACCAAACCTTAATGAAAGCTGCATTAACACAAACAGAAGGCGGCTCAATAAATCTAAAGTGCATGTTTCTCCCCTCTCTTCACATAACCAATTTACTTCACCATTTATAAATTCACAATTCTAATTATTACATTTCAAATATCTTGGTGACATTTTAGTTGGTTGATATCAACAACCTAAAGGAGCACATGCCTGTGTTTTGTTGTGTAGGCTGTGAGGAGCTTTGGTCCGAGGCGGATTCATCCTGTTCGGGTCAACCGATTCATCTGTGGCAGTTCCTCCGAGAGCTGCTGCTCAAACCTCACAACTATGGTCGCTGTATACGCTGGCTCAATAAAGAAAAAGGTGCAGCATCTCCTGCCATGTCACTAAATGTATTTTAAAGGAGAATGTCAAATAGGAATGCACAAAGTAGTGAGATTTCAGAGCTGGGGGCTCTGTTTGTTGTTCATAAAATGTTGTAATTTAACTAAAAAGAAATAAGTTTTTTTTTTCATGAGTGGAACAAGACAGTTTTATGCTGAAGACCTGTTATAGAAGAGAGAAATAAAATGAACTTGGTTAGAGAGGACTCTTCATCTGTTTTTCCTGCTTTAGTAAAGCTACTGTCACCCTTGCAGCACAGGCAGCTGCTGCAGGAGGTCAGAAAAGCAACAATATAACATAATGTTTAAGATCCATTTACTGATATTTGTTGTGTGTTTTTGACCACTTAGAGAGATAGTTATTGTTGAGAATTTATTGATTATTTCCCAAACTTGATGAAAAAAAACCCTCAGCATTGAATTATTTGCTACCAGAATATGTAGGATAGACAAGTCTATGTATAAATATCATTCATTATTATACCTTAATATTTATCAGTACAACTGGATCAATCTCAAACCATGTGTTTCTAGTTATTTTAAATGAAAATAATTTTAACTCATATTCATTGTCATTGCAGTTTTTCTGGAACTGCAAAATTATGGATGAAACTTATTATTTGCTTATATAAGAAGGATAAAATGTATGATTAGTTTCCAATAATATAACTTTGTATTTTTCTCCAATTTATCTTATTCAACTATTTTTTATTTAATAAAAAAATAAAGTGTTTGACTAGTGACTGAAGTACAAATATATATTTACACTTTGTTTTGTACTTGTCACTGTGTGTTTTTTGTTTGCTCCGCTTTGTTTTTAAAGATTCCTGTTTCTCCCTGCAGGTATTTTTAAAATTGAAGACTCGGCTCATGTGGCGCGACTGTGGGGACTCAGGAAGAACCGACCTGCTATGAATTATGACAAGCTGAGCCGCTCCATTCGGCAGTACTACAAAAAGGGAATCATCCGCAAGCCTGACGTGTCTCAAAGACTGGTCTACCAGTTTGTTCACCCAGTATGAGGCTTCAGGAGTTGACTTATGACGATAAAAACAAACTATATCTAACAATGCACTTGAACAATTAAACCCAAGATGAAAAATGACTATGGACACATGCACTGATAAAGGTGCCTTCCTCTGCAGAAGCAATGAGGATGAGAGAAAATATTTTGTCTGATGCTTTTTGTTCCTGGTGCAGAATCAAGCAAACACAGATTACAATAAGCAAACTGCCTTGTTGTTTGGACGGCCTGCCAGGTGATGGTTCCATGATTAGATTCAGATATCACAGCGCCACACCTATGCTTTAACAAACAAGCTTCATGTAGTTGCCTCTTTCCAACGCCTATGCTTGTTATGACTTCTGTTTCAGTCATCCACACTGCCACCAGGTAATCTTGTTATCTAATTTGGGAAAGTATAGGAAAGGACACTTCAGCAGTTTTGATGAATTTGGATGCACAAATGCAATTCTTAAAACTTTCTGTGGCGGAGATGATAAGGCCAATTTTGTTTTTGTCTTTCTCTGTGATAAGAGTGACATTTTCTCTAACAGCACTGCTGAGGCGCTTCATTGGTTTAGCTTGTCACTTTCAACTGATTAAGTCAGCTTTATATAGATTGCATTTTAGGTTGCTGATGTTTAAGGCACAACGTGCTGAAAACCAAATATTATCAATTCACTGTCTCGTTGCTAACACGGAAACAGCCTAATGCAACTATTACAGATGTTAAATGAAGTGGGTAGTAACCATGTGGAGTGCCTTGCATCTTTGAAAATAAGATGTTCACATTTTTCTATAAAATACACAAACATTAGTGTATTTCATTAGGATGGTTTTATATAACAGAACACAAAGTAAATGTGGAGTAAAAGAAAACATTGTCTAAATTTTTACAAATAAAATTCTGAAAAGTGTGGTGTGCATTTGTATTCATCCCTGCTGAGTCCATACTTTCACTGATCACCTCTCTGTGCAATTAGTTCTGAACCTTGGAGCTTACGCCTCTACCAGCTTTGAACATAAAAATCTTGCCCATTTCTTTCCAAAATATGCTAGATACAGTCAGATTGAATGTAAAAACTTACATACATTTATTTGAATCTGGAGCTTCATTGGGCCATTCTTTCATATGACTATGCCTTGTTATAAACAATTTTCTTGTAGTCCTGATTGTGTGTTTACACTTGCAGTCCATGAGATGGAGATAAAAATGGAAAAGAAAGGGGAAAACACAAAAGAACAGAGCTGGAAAAAATAGTTAAAAGGGAAATGAGATAAGAAGATAGGAGGGAAAAAGAATAAAGAAAATAGTTAAAATTCTACACCTGCAGAAAGGGAGAAAAAAAATCACAATATTTTTTTTTTATTTTAAGCAATAGGATTCTTGTTACCACTTCTCTACAAAAGCCACACTTGACAGCAGTATTGTTGACAGTTGTGAACAGTGAACCCCCATGTCTTTTGTAGATTGGTGGTGTATTTATTAGATTTTCAGATGATAACTGGAAGAGAGCCACATTGTTCACCCTCTTCTGAATTTCTCTCCAATTTTACCTCTGACCTGTCTGGTGTATTCCCTGTTTTTGTCATTTACTAAACTTCTAAATTTATATTCCAACTTTAAACACAGATAGCCTCAGGCTACTAATTAGGTGACTCCTGAACATGTTTGGCTACACTGGACTTTTCCGTTATTAGATAGTGTCTTATAACCGTCTAATTTTCAAATATTTTGAACCATGCATTGAATTTATTTCACTTCAGTTATTCATAACTTTGCTAAGGAGTAATGTTTTTAAATTACTGGAATAAGGTCAGAATCATACCAGAATAATATTTTGACTATTGTTCCCGTATAATTGTAATAATGTTGGAATAAAGTTTTACAACAAAAATGTCATAATGTTAGAAGAATGAAGTCAAAATAGTCCCAGAATGAAGTTGAAATAACCAAAGAATAAAGCAGTAATGCTATGGAAACTCTGACACAAAACTGAGATGAAATGAGGCACGTTGAGCATGCCTCGTGACGTTTTTCATAATCAAATTATTATAGGTCGTGGGATTTTAAAATAGTTATGCAAATGTCTGCATCCAAAGAACTACACTGACTTTGACTACATTAGATCTTAAATGTCCTAATAATCTACTTCTTGAGCAATGGCAGATTTTATGACTCAAGCAGAACACAAGCTAAGACAGAAACTAAATTCGAACTCTATCTGTGGGTAATTTGCAAGAGTACATGTACATGTAAAAACAACCACATTTTGTTTGAAGAGGTATCAAGCTGTTTTAATTTCACAGTCCTTTCTTTACTGATGACTGTCCTTACTGACATTTTCTCCTGTAACTGACTTTCATGCAATCCAACAGGTTTTAAAAAATGTCAACAAGAAAAGAAACAAAAACAGATGTCAACCGCAAAATTGACTTAGAAAGGCAGACAGCAGTTGTTTCTCTTCTTTTTCCATTGAAGGATTTCTCTCAAGTGACACCTACAATGTAAACAAAGACCAAAAGTTAAAAAAAAATACTTGTAACTTATATTAGTTAATATTAGTTCACCGTACATAAGGTTGCATGTTTGTTTATAAAAAGTTAAACTGTTAGCTCTGAAAGTTTGTGAATATAGTTGTAATAAACATATTAATATATCATAAGAAGAGGGAATATCTAAACTGTAATTATTTCGACAGCAGGAGAGTTACTTTAGCTAAACAAATATTTTCCTAAAACGACTTGACTAAATTATAAAATTGTCTGTAAGATATCTTGTGACATCTAGTGGCAGTGATAGATATTGACCTGTATTAAATTGAAAATGTTTCGTAAATCATGAATAAAAAAAAAATAATCCAGGAAAGGTGATTTATCTCGGTTTAAACTTATACCCTAAATGTCTGAAAAATTCAGAAAATATTCTCCTCTAACTGTTAATGAGTTTCCTGATAAAACTCAACTAACTAAGTCTGGCAAATTTATAACGTTAGTACTGTATGTTCAAAGTGCAATTTGAAAGTTTGAAGTGGTATTTTGGCTTCCTCCACATTATAAAAACATGTCTGTTACATTAACTGGTGACCCATTGGTGTCTTCGGACTACGTCTGTATTTAAATTAGTCTCAACTGTATTTAAAGACTTCAATGTATATCTCAAACTTCAGATGAAATATTGTTTTATTATTTATGCAGAACAGGCACTACAATTTGGAAATTACAGCACTATGCTAAAAGTACAGAGAAAGCCCTCTAGTTCTCTAAAAGTTTCCTTTGAAGTTGCAGCATAAAGCACAAGAGAAAAATTAGTCATTTACTGGCTTTCAGAAGCTTCACAGTTGACATAAACAGTCCCATCCTGTTTCAAATGCAGACAAAGACACAGTTACGACAGCTGAGATGTGGAAGTTTTCCGTCTATGGGTTCTTCAGTCAGTCCTTGTGTATATGTAAACTGATCTACATGAGCTGGAGTAAGATTCAGAAGAGGTAAGCTCTCTGTCACTGAGAGCTTACCTCTCGCTGAGAGTCTTTGGAGAGGTCTTTCACCTCTCTGAATCGAGCGCTAACACCATACAGAGGCAGGCACGAAAAAGAGGATACAGAGGCATTAACACACAACAAATGTGTCACTTTTGGGGATTTGTGCGAAATAATTATTTTTGCTCTCAAAGCAGAAAAGTCTGGTGTCTCATCAATATTTCAGACCAATCCTCTTTCTGCTTCTAACTCTGCAGCTTTTCCTGTCTGTGTGAGAAACAGCAGCCTGCCACCCAGAATAAACAACAATCTGCACCAGCATATGCAGTTATCATATCAGCCTCTTATACAGCACTGCTACATATGCTGAATCTCCTGACTAAAGATGAACTATAAGAAAGAAACAAACATTAACACAACCTGGGGTTTAATTAACTTGAGCTTCAGCCAATAAGTAGATGGAAACTAATCAAGATCATGCGCTGGATCAGTTCAGTTAACAGCGTGTGGGCGCATCAGCATGCACTAAATCACAGGGGGTAAGAGCTGCGAGTCACCGACGTTCGCTCAAAATAAGCAATCCACACTGATTACAGAAACAAATAAATTATAAAACTGGTTTGTAAATGTGGCTTATCTCCATATAAAATAGCTACGGGTTGATGTATACAAGGCAGCTTGTGATCATGGAGGCTGCATTATCAACACATCTGATTGGGGGAGAAAGAGAAGAGAGTGAAAAAAAGGTGATGGAGTTAGGCACATTGTCGCCATGAATGGGAAAAGTGAAGCGTTACATAAAAACAACATTGTTTTTGATAAAGAACTTCATTTCAAAGGAGAAAATCTCTGTTGAGAGTTACTGTGAGTTTCTGTTATCTTTAATAAATTAATGCAGCAACAACTGCGAAATGAGCAGGAACAATTCCGCAGTCTTCAGTATTCTTGGTAGAGCACCTTATCAATGAGGTTACACAGTGCATTTTGTTCTTTTGTAAACTCCAGGTAGGAACTTATCCCATGCCAAAGGAAGGTTTGCATATTCTCACAATGGGCATGATGTCATGTTAACGTTGGGATTCTTTCCAGGGAGCACTAATTATATCACAGGCAAATTCACTGAATAAAAAACAAGAACTGGGTGCACAAATTTGTTGAATTCATTTTCAATTATTCTAATGCACAGAAGGTCAGAATTACACGTGCAAGCTCCAACATACACAGCCCACTGATACTGATCTGAGGAAGAAAGGTATACAATTGAATGGAGCCCCACAGTATGATTCTGCCTCCACCATTCTTTACAGTAGTTATAGAGTTCAGTGTTGAAAGCATGACTTTTACGACTCCAAAAGATCCTGCAATTAAGGTTACATGTCTTAATTTTAATTCCCTAATCTTTGGTCAGATGCAAATTTTATTCCATTTCAATATTGTTATTCTGAAAGATGGGCTCTGATGGTCTAAATTTATAGACAACACTGGGAATTCAAACAGAATAAATGAGGCAGGCTGGCAGATTGTCATTTCAACCCCACTAAAATTCTATGAAGTATACTAAAAAGCTGGTCTATAACAAAAAACCAAACAGTTTAATCAAACTTTAATAATAAGAATAGTTAAACATCCAGTCAGATTACACCACAAGCTTGTTGGTATCTGTAAAAACCAACTTTTTATGGGATATTTAACCAAATGTGGTGCACATTTGGTTGTGTATGTATATGCTTGCGCTTTTATGTATAATTTCGACCCAATGTTGAATAAATTCAAACTTGTGCACCACATTCTTGTTCATGCCCACGGTGAGAGCATAAAAACTTTTCAGCAGGACGGTTGAGCAACAATTAAGTTTAGCTGTTTTATGTTTTGTTTGTAAGTGTGATTATTCAACAATAACCAAGCCTACTTATCCAGCAATAGTAGCAGTTATTTTGACATGGAAAAAATCCACTTAGTTTATTTTAAGGGTCAAAGGTCAGTTCCATTTTCGACTGATTAAATCATGAGCTTAACACTGCTGCCATTAGTTTGTATGCAGGACTTCACACATGATTCTGTGACAAACGTAAAAAATGAAGTGTTTAAACAATTGTGGTATATTTGTCTTGTTCCTGGCCCTCTGGTTGCTGGGAGGCATTTATGTTAAATTTGTGTGAGCCTGAATCCCAATTTTAAGCAAAGCTAACATTCTTCAGGCCATGCAGCTTTGAAAGTGGTTTAAATTCTCCAATTGAACTTTACAAGATGAGACACACATACACTTCCAAAAATGCTAAACGTAGTGTAAATACTAAGGAAGAAAACAGTGTATTTTATAACGAAACAAACTGTACAAGCATCCAGATGGTAAAAAAGAGATTAAAATACATAACTGCACAGCTCATCCTTGATACCCCGGCGCCTTATTCGATTTCTCGTGAGAGAAGAGCATCACAGCTGACAGCAAACTCAGTCAACAACGTGTCGCTTCAGTTGTTGTAACTGGAGGTGATGTGAGTTTGAGCAATCTTCTTTATGATGACGACAGCTTGCTGCTCCTTTTCGGAAAAAGAAAGATTTGCTTTAAAGTCTGTGGCAATGTGCGGGCGTGAGTGGACAGTTCAGTCCGGATTTCGAGCGTCCTCGGCTGGGACGTTTAGATCGGCTCCACATAATTGGCAGGGTAAAGACCAAGCTGGCCGCTATCCAGGCGACCTTTACACCAGCCCTGATCGTCCTCATCTTCCAGCTTCGTCAGCAAATCACCTTGATTGATAAAAAGGGACAGAAAGAGGAAGGGGGATTTAATGAAACACCTCTTGTATTTTGCTGCTGACCACAAGGACATGAAAGGAAGTTGCCACCAATTTTCCAAATCGAGAGGATTTGTTGCATCTTTCGAGTTTTATGGCGTATTTTCCTTTCATGTGGATATTTGTGTTAAAATTATTTCGACTTCTCCAAATTTGTTAATTAAATTTAGAGTAATGTTGAGCTCAGCAGATGTCATTGATATGCAAAAGGGACACAATGCAACAAATAAATATCTTGTCAAAAAAACTGTAAAAAAAAAAAAAAAAAAAAAACTACATCTAAAATATGGATGAGGTTATGGCGACTGAAAATAAAATAATTCTGACTTTTTTCTCAGTTTGCTGATTCTTTGTCAATTTATATCAAAATCCAAATATATATAGATATATATATAATAATATAAAAACATAATCAGGTGTATGTAAACTATGTTGCAATTATAAAAAATAATCAAATTACGCTTCTTCTTTGTTTCAGGGCTTGTAAATCTGCACTTTGTCAACATTAGAGGAGTGTAACAAATTGGTTTGGAAGATCTGAGTTTTAAGACTAGATTTGCCTGATGCTGCATACATAATTGAAATAATTTGGATTCTGAGAAAAAAAAAATCCCAATGGCTACCATAAAATCATTATATAAAGCCTGAAATACTGAAATACTGTTTAGTGAATTTAAAACATGAAGGAAACACCGGGACAGCAGTAAAATATTATGTTTAATGAAACATGGCTGCAGGATCTGGATCACACAATTAAGCTTTTGAGATGATTCAGACAAACAGGAATAAACCCAAGACTGGCACAGAACTAGGTTTGTTGGATCACAGAATCAAATTTTGCCACCGTTCACTGCAGTCAAAGAACCATTTTGTAGCCCAGAAATGTTAACACAAGGTACCAACATTCACAGTGTTTCCTCATACCGTCATTGCTGATTACATTTCTTTGACTTTTATCCAGGTGAATAAATATGAAGCTAACCACCCTGAGAGTCTAAACTCTCCACCTCAATGTATTCTTGGATTTCTGTGCTATGCTGTTGTAGCCACTGGAGCAGTGGCTACAACAGATCCCAGGAACAACATCAGACATCTCAGTCCAGAAATGTGCAGTCCTTGGGCCAAGATACTGCGCAGAACCCTCAAGCTCCCACCTCTGGTAGAGGACCCGAGCTCAGAGGATAAGAACCACCCGCGGTGGGTGAGAAGGGAATTTTTATATATATATATATTCCGCACTCTTCAGTATTCTTGGTATATATATATATATATATATATATATATATATATATATATATATATATATATGTTTTTTTTTCTTGTTGCGATTATGTCGAGGACTCAGCTTTACAGTCCAGTACAGTAATCTTCAAATATGTAAAGAACCCAGTCAGTGTGCATGCATCAAACCTAACCAATCAATGAAAATACATCAAGTAGCTAAATCTGGATTTGACTATATGTCACATTTAAATTGCTATTTTCTAAAATTACATTAAATTCTAAAATTCAGGAAATCTAAAAAACTGTAAAGATTGCATTTACTGGATTTTAAATCCTTTTGGTGAAATATCTAACATTGCTAATATTTTGTTAGAGCCATTGGTTGGCATCAGCAACCATGATGAGAAATAAAGTGGAAATAGGCAGTTATGTCTGTGATTTATGGAAGACAGGGTGATATAATGGATGAGTTTGAAGGTTGAGGCTCATCTGGGGAGTCTTGTTATTGCTGTCTAGGAGACTCAGGATGGTTCAAATGACCTGGTCAACTTAGGAACTCCCCTAGATGGTACCTGGAAAAAACAAGGACAGCAAAAACAGAGAAGAATGGATAGAAGGGGGAGATGAGGTAAGCAATGAAGGGTGAAAGCAACAAGGGAGAATGACGGATTGGATTGATTAACATTGGTAGTTATCTGGATAGTTTGTGAGTTGATATGAATTTCTCATCGTTTAATTTCAGATTTTTTGGGGTGCTCTGAAAAGTTGTGATGTTGTGCTCTGTTAAAAAAGTGAACCACAATTGGATTGAAAGGGTGTAATGACAAAAGTTAGAGTTTTAAATGAGGAGGTCAGGAAGGAACAAATGGGGTGATCATGATACAAAGGAATGAGAACGATGAGTGTTGAGTCTCCGCTGCATGACAAATGGTGCTGAAAAGGTAACTGTCTTTACAGACGACTTGACAGTTCATAAGAGGTATGACTGAAAAAGTAACTGTGCCATAAAACCTAAGCTGTCAGCAGGAGATCCTTTGAATGACCCCCTTTCTGTCCATAGGTCTGCACACAGTCTTCTGTAACGTTTCACAACACTGTATTCACTTTCACCCAAAGTTCTGGGTTCTGTCGTATGAACTCTTCTGCTTAAAAGATAATGCAGATATATTGTATTCCCGGTTCAAAGCACTCACCTGCTTTGAAGCTAAGCTCGTCTTGCTCTTGGCCTTCATAGTCGTACAGCGCTTTGACTCTGACGCCTTCACCCGATTCTTCATAAAAAGGGTTTGACCCTCCGTTGGTGTCACTGCCTGAGTTCAGACCCTTCCCTTCATCATCTGACCACTCATTGGACGAGTACGCCTGGTTCTTCTCGTAGCTGCTCACACTAAAAGGAAGGGAAACACCCAGATGAGTCCTGGTATTGTTGACACTACATGTCTGTTGTTTTTGATTGGGCCTTTATGCTGGGTAATGAATGACTGTGTAATAATAAAGGCAAATGCTGAATATTATAGACAAGTACTACAACTGGTGCCTGGAAGAGCTTGAGTGGAATAAACTTGATGAGCTAAAAAGGATAAAGATCAGACCTTCCCCTATCCTCCACTTGAACGTTGCTTCCTGGAGTCTTGACATTAGTCAGCAAGACTTCATCGTTATTCTTCTTTGACTTTTCTCTCTTAGAGATGGTGTGGATAAGATCTGGATTGTACTCCTGCAAAAAAGTCAATGAACAGAGCAGTACAAAACTGAATGAATGAAGGTGGAAAATTAATAGCTTTTTAGTTGTCAATCTATATTTAACAAGTGTACATAAATAAACACACTAAGCAAAACTAAACTGCAGCAAAGAAAAACAAAATATAAAATTTACATAAATTTTGTGCATGAGTCTTTCATTTCCAATGTGTACTTCTTTCTTGTAATGGTTTATGCAAATCATGTTATTATGGATGTAACTGTGCAAAGACATTAAGGTTAATTTAAACAGCACTGAGCTCTAGTTAAAGTACACAAAAGCATTAAAATTATTATTTTATTTATTTTCCTCATCCAAAATAATTAGAAAAACAACATGTTTGAGAACAGGAAAGAGTAAACAACAGCACCTCAAACTTTGGCCAGTTCATGTGCATGCCGGGGCCATGGATACTACTGAACCACTTCAGATCTTCTTCAGCGCTAGCTGCAGTAATCACCCGCTCAAGATCTCTGTATATTGTGACATAACTGTGAACAGAAAAAGAGGATCTGGTGTGAGCACAGAGACTGGATGTTATCTTTCTTTTTTCTGTCTCACGCTAGGTTGACTCACTTTTGGTTCTCTGTCAGGTTGAGGTGACGTTTGACGTCGAGCAGCACCTCCCTCAGGAAGCTCAGCCTCTTCTCTTCAAACTGCTGGCACTGGTTAAACACCTGCTCCATGTTCTCTATGTACTGAGGGGTGCACTTATTCAGCTCATCCAGAGCCTTTTCATACTTTTCCCTTGTCTACATCAGAATATAAAAAAACAACAAAAACAAACAAAGAAAACAATATGATTAAAATATGATTAAACTTTTTTTATAGTTTGAGTGAAGTTTTTCTAAAACCGATTGGGATGACTGGTGTTTTACTGACTTCTTCTGTCTCTCCAATTACACATTAATCTAGAAATAATTCTAGTTCTTCTTTCTGAGACCGGAAATTAATCAGATGTTTGGTGATTCAAGTAATAAAAAGTGATCAGAGTCCACTTCAAGAAAAGAGATTCAGAGAAGAGCAGGAGTGGCATTCAGTCACTCATTAACCAAACCATACTGACTCAAACCCTGATACTTTGAAATAGGATGGCAGCTCATTTGCGTTTAGGTTTATTGGACATAATATTTACATAATGATGAGGCCATGGGCGTTGCAGCTGATGAGCTCACCTTCTGTGAGTCTTGTTTGCACTTTTCCAGTTTGTCCAGCAGTTTCTTCTGCTCTGCAGGCGCTGTGCCGTCTCCCTTAGCGTTGGCTTCTCTGGTGGCGGCTAGCTTCTCCTCTTTGCAGGCCATGTGGTATGACTTCTTAGCAACCTCAACCTGACAACAAAAGGTAACATAGACAATCTGAACAGAGAATCTGCATTAAGAAGTAAGAAGTACTATTTAAGTGGAGTATTGAATATCATAAACATAGTTTCCCAATATGAAACCAGATAAATGACATGCAGCAAATAATGACCTTGGTTTAATGCTGACAAATGGGACATGGAAAAAAAGGTAGAAGCAGATCACTGCCATTACTGATAAATGACTGAGTTTAATCAGAAAATCTTTAATGATCAGCGCAAATACTTAAACACTAAGATTATTAAGCGACCTATTAATTGAGTAGCTTTATAAATTATGCAATAAATCTGTCAAACACTGACACAATGTTGAAAAAGTGCAACATTTAGTAATTTAATCATAGTCAGTTTTCAACTCAGTTTCACTCAGTACAAATGTCTTCAAAGGTAGACTCTGGTTAGAATAGTAACAAAAGCATAGCATTACCATAATGTTCTGCCGTAAGTTTCACTCTCACCTCTTTCAGCTTCTTGGCCCAGGGTTTCTGGGCCTTCTTAAAGCCTTCGTCTGCCTCTTTGGTCTCCTTGAATCCTCCCATCATCTGTTTGTGGTACGAGTCTTTCTGCCAGTTCTTCACCTTCTCAAAGTCTTCACTCAGTAGGTGGCTCTTCATTTCTGTGTGGAGGTCGCTCACCTTTTCTGCCTCTGTCATCATTGCCATCCAGGCCTGTTCTACTGAGCCATACTGAGGACCTGGTGGAGGAATTAAGATCTGAAGCCTGTTTTTTATTTTATTTATTTATTTATATAAATTAGGCTTCTAAATTGATTTGGGAAAAATTTATCTAATAGCTTAATAGAAAAACAATTGTTGTTGCTATTATACCTTTATCAACCAGCTGCCTCCATCTCTTGGACCAATCAGTGAGCTGCTGTGCATAGCCTTTCTCGATTTTGGCACGCTCCTGGATGCAGCTCATTAGGTCATTGCAGAGTCGATTACCATCATCAATGCGCTTCACTGTGCGCTTGTAGTTCCCAACCTTAAAAACAAAGCAAATCAGCAGTGCAATATGTTAACTGAAGCTCCACAAGTTGTCTGCTATCTTCAAACTAAAATGTTGCTAATTTCACTGTGAATCCTTCTGAAATCAATCACTAGTTTATTAATCTTGACACAATCTCTTAGCACTACATGTATTTTCAGTTCAATTGCAATTCAGCACCAATTTTATCTCAAGGATTTTGCAAACAAGTACAATTCATTCACAGTTTATAAGTAATTCAATTTGTCCACAGTTCAATAAAGTCCAGTAATGACATTACACAAAAATTGGATATAGTAAATATAGTATTTCTGGGATCTTTACAAATTTTTGAGGTGGGTTCTGTTAAGAGAGAATGAGTAGTGCATGTCTTACCAGCAATGTCTATACATTGTAGGTAAGACATTTCCTTTTAATGTATTCAAATCAAAGAAGCAAAGGTTAGTTTTCCAGTCACAGTGGTCACAGTGAGGTAAGGTCAAACTGCATTAAAATAACTCCAATCTAAAAAAGGTCCTGAAGTTTTTACAGAAGCTATTATACAAACTATCATGTCATTTTCAACAAATGATACCTACTGCAAGTGAGATAATGACTGTTGAAACCGCCTTAGAAAAACTCAACCTTACAAAAATATGAGCTACCCAGTAAAAATAATTCAATAATACTGTATCATATTTGGGTTCAAATTTGACTGTGTGGAATGTGCATATGAGTCTTTCATTGGACTGTATTTGAATAATTTGACATTGATATAACTGAATTTGTCTGACTGCATCTCTGGGCTTTGTGATAGAACCACTGCTTGAAAAAAAACAATAACCAAATGATCACTTTAAAGATCCAGAGTGTAAAACTGAATGACATCCAGTTGCACAAATTCCAAACCACATCCAACTAAAGGCGTTTACATTGTTACTTATTAAGCTTATTTTAAAATGGAGTATCAGAAACTTTGTATAACCACAGAAAATATTTTCTACCTATATTGAAATTGTGAAGCAAGTCTCATTCTTAGGTTATTTATTTTTTTATGTGTTTGTAAATTACATACAAATGTTCATAATACAAATTGTTCCTGGTTTTGTAAGTGACAGATTTTGGGTGGTTGCTTAAAAAGCATTATGATTTCGCTCTTCCAGAGTTCACTGTGTGAGATGTCACTTCTTTTCTCCTCACAGCCTGTGGGAGATGAACTGAATCAGCAGGAGGAGCAGCAGGGAAGTCACTGCTGCTGCTGCGCTGAGTAGTTACGCAATCAAAAGAAAGGGGTGGTTTAATGTCATATAATTTACAACCCTCCACAGCTATAGAAGCAGCCATCTCCCAGAGAGCTGATAGTTTTTCCCAGAGACACAAAGCTGTTTTGATAAAGAGAGGTTGAAACCTCTGTTTACAACCATTATTTTCCACCTTTATGACCGAGAAAAGTGGAAAACATTTAAACGCAGTGTTTGCTTGCAAGTCACCCTGTAAATGACTTTCAACAAACTGTAAGTGTGGACTAAAAGGAAGCAGCTGAGGCCGTATAATAGTATTCCACACCAGACCTTTGCCTCAGCAGCAGCAGCCAGCCGAGTCAGCAATCACCAGGCGGTACTGCAGCATCTTTACTGTGATACAGAGACTGAGCTGAAGTGACTGAGAGCTGGAGGAAGACATGTTTCCTGCACCTGCTGATTTCTGAAGGCACAGACCAAAGTAACCGGAGGAGAAAATTCAGTCTAAGACGAGATTTTATTTTAAATCTAAAAATGTGAAATAAAAGATCTGCTGCGGATCTTTATTCTATGTGAAATGTCTGAGAGTAAAGGAACTTGGCAGGCTGTATTCTTGGAGGAGATGCAAATCTATTCCAGCTTTGCACACTGTGATCAGTCACCAGCTCCCATGAATAATGGATGTGTTTCAGGAAACTTGTAGATCAGATAACATGGGACTTTGTGTTGAAGAAACATTGTTGCTGATGTAAGTTCATGAGAGAAACCAAAATTACCATGACACCAATGGCGCAACATAGTAACATTTTTATTTAACAATATGTTCTGTGATATTAGAATCAGTTTGTCCAGTAATTCTGAATATACCCTATAATTTTCATCTTCAGTCTCACCTATTAAACAGTCCCTGCACCAACTTCATTTGGCCCCCAACTCCTTCAAATTTTACTGTGATAAACTGACTGTGATTTCAACTCAAATGTTCCAGATCTCCTTTTTGTGTCATGATTAATGAGTTTTGTGTTTTAGTTGTAAATGTATATTCTAGTTCTATTCTTTTTTTTATTGCAGTTACAAATACCCCTCCTGACTGGAAAAGGACCATCCTGGAAGTCTCCACAAAACTGACTGGTCAAACATGTCTAGGACTTTTTTCCTTGATAGATATATTTTGCATTAAAACTGCAGCATGAAAAACTCAAAGTTTCATTCAGTCCTCGAGCAACCACCACATCTAAATGTATGTGGAATTTGGACATGTGTGCACTAGACTCTTACCTGTTCGATTTTGTAGCAAACCTATGTTTGGTGAGGTATCTGCTGTACTGGTGTGAATAGCTTGTTGAGATCAATTTGGCTGAAGACAGAATAGCAGCTGTGGTTCAAATAGCAGAACCTTACTTGATGACTTGCCCGCTAATTTTGCAGGACTGATAAGGGTCCAATACTTTGTAAAGAGTACCTACACTCTGGATAATTTACCTCTACTGTTGTCCATCCATCCCTTTTCTGTATACCCTTGTCCCTACTGGGGACAAGTAGGGACAAGACAGTTATCTGTCTATCTCCAGCTAACTTTCCGGGCGAGATGCAAGGCCACCCGGGACAGGTCACCAGTCTGTCGCAGGGCAGATTCATTTTTAAGAATTTTATTCCATATGCAGGAATCCTTAAATGAATCTGTTTTTTCCACTTCCATCTGTTCTCTATTTTTATTGTTCAGAATTATGATAGTTTATGTCTTTCATCTTTTTTTTTTCTTTGTTCACTGCCAGATGACATTGTGCATTGAGCCCTTTTATCTCCTCTTTGCATCATTAATTCACAGTTTTATTAACTCCCTGTTTTGCATCAGCTTTTGATGTTTTGTAGTCTGCCTGAAAGACTTTACAGGTCATGTAAAATCTTTCTCCTAATAAAAGGAAACCTGTCTGGAACTTTTCAGCGCTATAAGAGACTGGTCGTTTGAAGCATCTACAACTGCAGAAAACTACAAGGAGCTGAATCCGTAGAAGATTTGCACAGAGGCAAAGGAGCACACTAACAGGGAGAAAATACTTGAAAATATGACTTCAAAAGTACAAAGGTCCAATAACAATGAAGCTATAAAGGGAAAAATAAAACAAGAGTGGCTAAGGCTAAAGATAGCGACAGAGGATGAAAACCTCCTAATGTTGCAGTGTAATTAATGTATTTAGTTGCTTCCTCATTTCCTTCTTAAATAATGGCCTCAGGATGCGACAGTTTGTCACTTTGTTAACAATCAGTGTGGTAGTATCAGGTCAGTAGGTGTGAGCAATTCTTAGATCCATGCCGCAACACTCCTGATAAATCTGATGCTATGTTTACTGTCGAGCACATGCCTGATTTATGTACAGTTGTGACTCTACACAACGCTGATAAACGAGACAACGCATCGTATTTCTTCTCACCAACCCAGAGGAGGTTGGTCTGCCGGCAGTTCATCACAATGCAGTGTCACTCTGAGCTCAGGTTTAATCTGCCAAACGCTGCTGCCCTATTTTTCCTCACCTCCCAGAAACTGTCCGTGGCCTCCTCCTGGCTGGCGTACTCGTCGTAGCCTCCAGACATGGTCCCAGATTTGGCGGGGTGGCTTCAGGATGTAGGAGTCTGCAGTAGAGTGGTGTTCCTCATGCACTGTTGGGGAAGATGAGAGAAATGTGAACCCGAACCATAGATGGGAAAGATGAATAGAAAAAATGAGTTTCTTTAAAACAAATAACAACTTTTGAATAATATCTTAAGTTTTAGTTTCATTCTCATAATTTAACATGTTAATCATCAAATTTCTTGATATACAAAATGAAATCCTGTCCCATCATTTGTTTGTTGGGGTTTAGTAATGTTGAGATGATATAGATTTAAAAAGAGCTTTCATTTAAACAGAATCAATGCAAATGAAATCAATGCCAGCCATTGATTATATGGGTCATAAGCAAGTTATTTCACACATTATGCCAAAATCTAAACCTGAAGTAAAATATTATAGAACAATTAATACTTGTGTTATGATATGAAAGGGAGTTAATTGTGTTATGTTTTTCAAATGAAACACAGTTATCATATCATGAATATTGCACCTGTAGTAGTGAATACATGTTTGTCAATTTCACAAAAAGATGAAAAAGCTGAGCTAATAGCTGATGACCACATAGCTACATTTTTGAAATAGTTGTGCATGAATCCCATTACGCATGAGTCATTACGTAACATAAGATTACAAACTGTAGATCTCAGACATGAAAGTAGACATTTGAGGCATGAGGTGCAAACCATAATTGTAATACACAGACAAATAATGACCTACATGAAAGAGATCAAAATAAAATGCAAAGTGAAAATGTAAATGAACAGGATGGCAAATATGAAACAGAACAGCACGAAAACAAGCTGCTTTCATTGCATCTACGCAGACAGCAAGTTACATGGAACCTCTGCTGAATACTGAACACTAACAAACAGATGATGTGACAAGAAAAGCATTTCTTTGGAAATCTGATCGATGCCATTTCTGCTGCAGGCTTTTAACGTATTGAGGAAGGACCACCATGTCTGAAGATATATTGCAGAAGTTGCATGATAAATATGAAGTTGACATTTTGAGAAATGAGCTTATTTTCTTTCTTGCTGAGAGCTAAATAAAAGGGTCAATGCTGTTTTATGTCTGTTACTGCATACATTACTAAGAAGTGAACAGATAAGGAATAGGAAGAATCTTTAAAAGAAAAACAATCTATGTATCAGGACACTATGTTCACTCTTAATAAATCTAAATAAACTTTTACTTTCAACATTTTGACAATGTAGTGAGACAGATATTAGACATCTAAGCTAAATAGATACATGAGGGCCTCTTCCTCCCCAAATAAATGCAGGGATTAAAAAAGTGAGGACGTATATTTATATTATTTTATATTATTAATACTTTCAGGCACATATTATAAAAAATAACTTTTATTTTGTGACTATCAAATCATTTCTCCACAGTCTGCTTAATTCTTTACATGTTGATTGGTTCACAGACTACCAACCTTTACTATTAGTATGCATATTAGTATGCATACTCAACAGAACAGAAATACCAATAAGTAGCATGAAGCATGGAAATGAAACAGCACTTAATTTCACATGATTAAAAAATTGGGACTTAGTTGTGAATATTTTAATGCTTTATAACAAACAGATCAATAAGCATTGTCTAACGTGTTCAGCTGAAACTAAACATCCCTTAAAATAAAGTGCAGCAATTTTTTGTTGTTGTTTCTTAGACATTGTGACTTTAAGTAGCAGCCACACATTTATTCTTTAGGTTTTCTTTGTCCAAGGAAATCTCCTCTCAGCTGCGTTTTAGAAAACTGGTGGATTCCAAATCCTTTCTGTGTCTGATGATAAAAAGGTAGAATTAAAAAATATCTGGAATTAAAACTGTTACTGTGAAAATCTGTTTGCTACAGAAGAGGCATATGAGAAACAATAGAAAAGGAAGCAGCGGTGATTTGTTTTGATCTGAGGTCAGGGGGAGGGGAGAGAGCTGTGCGAGTATTTGGGTCAACCATGGACCAGAGGATGGAACAACACAGTTCTCAATGAAAAGCAGAGTTAAAACATGGAAATTGATTCCCAAAAACAATATAAAATCTTCTTAAATTGGAAGAGGATTCCCTTCTAAACCAACAGTTTCAAGGGAAAAAATAAATGTTTTTTTTTGTGTGTTTTTTTTTTTTTTGCAGCGAAGCTCTGCAGAGAGTGAGCTTAAGAAGTGGGTGTTTATTATGCTTGGTTGAGCCATTAGCTACATGCTGAGCAGGGGGCTTTTGTTCAGCCTTGGCTTATTTTAAAGGCAGATTGCAGAATATGAAAACAATCACTGACTTGCTTCTCCAAACACAAGGACAATAAACTGACTGAATTTAAAAATATAATACAGAATTTAGTGAGAAACCCTAAACATGTTAAAAAATCCAGGCAAATACTCAAATCCAAGCAGCACCTTTTAATATTTGGCTACCATCACACCACTTCCACTTACTCATTCCTTTTCTTCTAAAAGTAGACAGCAGTTACTACTCGGCATCCATGGCATTCACAAACAAGCAAGAGCATCCATGTAATGCAAGTGTTCAGATGATTCCCATCACTGCAAGCCAGCTGCATCAACACGTCTTAGTGAGGAAAACCCCAACACAAAGCAGCAAAGACGCCCTGAGAGCACGGGCACACAGCCCCCCACAACAGCAACAAAAGCCTACCTCCAGTCCTCCATGAACAGCAGCATAGGGTGCAGCGAGAGAGGGGAAAAAGAAGCACGTGGGCTCCTCTAGCAGGCAGTCCTGCTCTTCACTGCCACCCCTCCTGTCTGCTGATCTTTGCTCTGTGCTGCCAGTCGTCTCAGTGGTGCATCCAGAGCGGGGGGAAAAAGTCTGTGTCTTCTCGCCTTTCAGCCTCGAGTTCTGTGTAAAGTTTACATGTGTGTGTGTTCCCACCGACTGAGCAATAATCCTTGTGTTTTAATGGCTGAGACCAGAGCAGGGGCAAAGATAAGAGGGGGATGGGGTAGGTGTGCGGCTGCTATGGGGTGGCACCGCAAAAGGTTTGGTGTGGTGCACGAGGAGATCAATTAACAGGGTGTATTGCAGCTTTACTTTTATAGGAATAATTAACATTTAAAACGATTTTTCACCACAGCTAAAGCAGGTAATTCATCTTTAAAAGCGGCACAAATATTATGATCCAGAGAAAAATAAAAGAAAATCAACTATCTTCTGCCAAAGTAATAAAAAAAAAGAAAAATGTAGCAAAATGAAAGGTGACTGTGTCTGAGGAGAAATACGAGCATAATCAATTTAAAAATCTTAGAGCTTTTTTTTCTGTTCCATGTCATTTTAAAAACTCCTCCAAAGAATAAAGACTTAAACTGTAGTTTTAAGTTTATATTTCATAACATGCTTTCAAACATTTTACCATTTGCCAATTAATTCTAAAACCGAAACACTCCTCGACACAAAAACAGAAACTTACAATCTCTGTTTGCGATATCAGGAAGCATTTGACAATTTGAACATCTTGAGATAAAAGATAACATGATTATTATTTATGAAGAGAACTGGGGTAACTATCAATAAAATGCAGTAATTATCAAACTGCAACAATGATATCACAATTTCAGAATACATGCAATACCTAAGCTCTTTGGAATTTCCTCGTGACCAGTGAGCATGTCATCGATGTTGACATAAAAGCTATAAAATTATAAATAATTAACTTCTGTTGCCATTCAGAGCAAAAACATACTTTGCTCAATGACACTGATCCACAGCTTTGGTAGCTTTTAAGGAGCGCTGTGCCTCTGTGGCAGTCTCAGCTGAAGAATGATCATTCTGCCAACCAGGCTGACATGAATCACAGCCTGACAAGAGGAGCAAAGACGGCCTTCAGTCTCTGCTGACTGTTTAGTTCAGTGGGGAGGACAGGTGGGGTGGAAGAAAGACAGGCTGTTTGATTTTCACTGCATTCAAAGACTTCCTTCTGCCTCTGCATAACCCTTTTTTCTGCACTTTGTCCTAGGACAGAGGTATAGTGTGTGTTTGTTCAAATTCCCTGACTTATTTTGGCCACTACTTAGGATCATTTCACATCTAATATCCCAGCAGACTCGATTTGTCTGGGGACCAAAATTACAACATTTGTTAGATTTTCAGTTGGTGCAACCAAACCTGTTCACCCTCTCTCCTGTTTACGTATACCAAGCTGAGACAAAGATTTCCAAGCGGACCAGGGTTCAATTAAACATTCACACCTCCCCAAAACCAACTGGACTTTCTTGGCAAACAGACGAAAGTTCGAAGAAAGCAGACTAACAGCACTCTGTAATGTCATGGCTTAATGTTAATCCTTGTGTCATAGACTGAGATGGAATTCAGGACACAAATGCAGTTTCCAGCTCTGGAGACAGAAAGAAAATATATGTTTAAAGCAAAAATGAAGATATAACAACAAGCCACAACATGAATCTCTGCCTATCAGGCCAGACTGAGACTCAAAATCTTTTTGTTTTTTTGTAACATTTTGCTCAACAGCTATAAATTAAAGTGCCACAGTCCCTTTTTTAAACCAGTTTTAAATTTCTCCTGCTCAACACCCATGACTCAGACACATCATCAAAGTTTCAATGTTATATTTTACAGTCCTACCAACTTAACCCCCCAGGGCCTCAATAGAAATGCAAGCAACATGCAAAGCAACATACCTCTTGCTTTACATTCTGTTTGACCTGCCTGTTAATTGGCCAGAGATCAATCGATGATTAAAATATTTTCTATTTCACACGCACATGCACACACACGCATACACACCCCTACACACACACGCATACACACACACACACACACAACCACCATCCTTAGGCCCCTGAACATACACTTCTTGACTGTATTATTCCAATCGAGCTTTTCCTTTCCCCTTAGGACAAACTTTGTGCTGCTGCCCTCATCGTATTTAAGGCCTATATTTAGAGCCATGTTCATCAATAATTTGCAGTGCTGTGTAAACAGATAGAGGTGATAGCAAACCGGACTCATGGGCTGAAACTCTTTAAGGTTTGATGCAGCCTAATGACAAAGACAAGTCACAAAAACAAATGAACTGACCCAATGAAGTAGCACTAAGACTATTTCAATTTTGGTGAAAACCAGGAAGACAGATGAATATCTGAGTCATTTCATCTGACTAAAAGCAGAACTGTTTGCATAAAACAAACACAAAGTGAGTTTGTCAAGCTACTTTTTGGCATTGTAAATGTGTAGGACTGTGTGAATGGTAGTGACAATAGACAAAATGGAGTTGAAATACTTTCACATTATACTATAATTCAAACACACTGAAAAACAGTTTGTCATAACAAGACAACCTTCCAACTGCACTCCCCATCCTCTTTAATTCATGTCATCAATAATTGACAACCATGATCATGTGTTCTCCTTTGAGAGCTCTGAATGACACATTCGATGTCTAGTCGATCAGCAAAAGCAAAAAAACATAGACCCACATTATGTATTAAAAATGTAATCTTTGTGTCTACGATGAGTTCCAGAAAATTCTGGTTCCCAGCCAAACATTTGTGCCTCATCAGTAGATATTTTCCACATTTTTAGAGCTGGAACCAACTATTGTTTCTGCGCATCTGCTCTTTAGCCAAATAATTCACAAATAATTTGCTTCTGTGTTTAATGTAGACATATTCTAGCCACAAATGAAATGAATATTACACAAGTTTTCCCAAAGATTTTTTTTTCCCACTGAAGCTCTTTATTGTACCCAAAATATTGCTATATTAATATTTTTGAGAAGGTACTGAAATCTGTAACAAGTATAGCGCTGGTCTGAAGTTTACATATCATGATGATGATCATGATCATGAAACATCAAATTAATTTGGGACTTTGAATTATTCATTTGAGCCATTCGTTTTCCAGAGTGAATTGATCATATAATCCATAAATATTCAATTTAAAAATTGAAGAACTGGGCAAAAAATTTTGAATTTAGTGTAATTTTCAATAATCCACAAAAGTGTACAGGATGAAGCATATAAAAAAATCACTATATATGATATATATTTGGCTCTCTCTAAATCTCTTAGTGGGCTATCCTCTAGATATACATGTAGTAGAAAATAATATCTAGTGATCTTCTGACTGGATATCTGATCATACTTCTTGGCACAAATGGTAGAAATTTTTGAAGTTAGTTTTCTGGACTTGACCAGGTTTTCAGCATGACTCTTTTCAAAACAGCTGAGGGAAGACATTTCTAAAAGCCAAATACTTTTCTGCTTCATGTATTCTGATCTAGCTTGAATGTGTGTTTGGGATCACTGTTCTGTTTGAACACTTCTGTTTGAACACTCCATGATATTCAACCATCTGACTCAAAATATTCTTCCAAAACAAAAGGACATGGCCTCCAACTTTTTAAATTCTGCATCTGTAGAGTAATTGTCTGCTAAATCCCTTTATTGAGGTGTATAAAAAACGATTGCGTCTTCGAAGAATGACACCTGATAATACATAAAGTGTTTACTTTACTCACAATAAGGTAATTCAGGTTTACCAAAAATATTGTTGTATCTATTTCTGACTTAGTCTGTCACCCTCTGCTGTCTTCCGCTACACAATGTGAGGAAATGTTTCCTGCACAACAATAATAACTGTTCTGGGGAAATATGGTGGCCACTGTGGCTTGTAACCACCCCATCCACCTTTCTCAAAGCATTTCAGGACGGACTGAAAAACGTCTAAAACCTAAGCTTTTAATTTTCTTTATCACTGTTACAAAAGTGCAAAATTTATTCAAAGAGTGAAGAGCTGATACACTGAATTGTATCAGCTCAAGCAGAAATGAAGGTCTGTTAAAAAATTATTGATTTCAATCTGAATCATTAAATGATTATTTAAAAGTTCCTTGTCAATATTAATATATCAATATATCAACACAGATCAGAAAAGTTACTGACCCTTGGGTGTTGTTTCTGCAAAGTCCTTGATAATGTGACTCCCAGATAAAACTGACAAGTTCACGTCTTTGCTCACGTAGAAACCTGACACATCAAGCAGTCTCACCTGCCTTTTATATACTCCCACTAAGCAAAGAAAGAACTTTGACATTCCCTTTCGAGGGCACATCAGCCTGTCAATAATTAGCTTCCTGTGTGGAGGTGGAGACTTTAGACACATGCAGTCATTCTTAAAAAATAAACCTCAACATCATGCAGAGATGATTCAGGAAGTTGTGTTTATGACAGAGATTAAGATGGACAGAAAGGGCAGATAAAGGGGAGACCCACATGGGTGGTCAGATAAAGTCGATTGTGTGTTAGACTTGCTCCTTTCAAGATCAATACGAAATTGTGCTGTGAAAATTTGAAAGTTTTAGGTGAACCTTTTGTTTTCATTGTTCCTTTAGAAATTCATTAAAAATACATGTTTAAATATTTTTCTGCAAAATATTTAGGCAAAATAAATTAAATCAATTACAATGATGGCTGCACAAAAAGTCAATAACATGCTGAGTCATTGATCAAGATGGTTCCCTCAACCACTTTATGTGATTACCAAACCCACAAGAAATTCAGTTTACACACAGACAGACAATCTCTTTCCCAGTATGAGCCATCTGTGTATCATCTAATCATGTTTCTCCCTTCAGGACTCACACCGTTTGACCCCACTGTTATATCCTATTACCTCAGGAAGTAATTTACAGCCAACGACCATCACTGCAGGTCTCCACTACCCTGAAAAGCAATCTCAAATTCAGTTTGTTTTTTCTTCTGCTGTAATTTTCTTTTTATTATAAGATCCTTTTTATTGTTTTGGTGCAGCTATTTCGTTGTTTTTAAATGTATAGCTCGTCAAAACTTTGTTAGGCCTAATTTAAGAAGAGCATTTAGATGCTC